ATTACTTAAAATGTCAACTACCTTTTAAAAATAGCAAATCTCACCATTGAGAAGAATGTGCCAGAACCTCTGCTGTCCCATTTTGTAGTTAATCATGTGAGTGACATTTGGCTTTCACTGGGCACCTTGACTAAAGGTGGACCTGGAGCTGACTTTGGGAAGAGTTTGAGGCCAGGGTCTACACTGAATGAATGCTGTAGTTCCTGGGGCGGGATTGGGGAGTCCTGGAAGAACCACATGGAGACAGGCAGAAGGGAAAGGTGCCACAGCCAGAGGCAGGGTGCAATGTGACCCAGAGCAGCCATTGAAAGAGCTCTGAGAGCAAGTCCCTTTCTCTATTAACTCTCAGAAAGTTTTTGATTATTTCTAAAAGACATATTCATTATAATGTAAGAGTGAAGACAAGAGAGACCTCAGTTAATTCAGGTAAATATTGAAGCAATCATAAAATAAAATTCCTGTAGTAAAGAACCCAATATTACAGAACAAGTATTAACAAGAAAATACCATTTCATATCACAAATTATAGGAGAGTTTATTCTGTATTGTCCTCTTTTTGTTACTTGATTTTTTTAATTGTTGTTATTTATGAGGTTGGAAACCAAAACTTAACCCTGAAGTTTTCTCAACTTGCCGTTGCTTTTGAGCAAAGAAAGAAAGGGCTCCTTATGTCAAGGGTGGATTCTGGGTATTCTACACAGGAGAATGTTTGCACCTGTAGAACTGAACAGTAAGAGGTGGCTTTGGATTGCTCTACATCAGGTAAGAGATGGAGCTCCTGGGGCTGTGGAGCTAGTGAGAGAGGATGTAGCCAAGAAGGAGAAGGATGCAGCCAAGGAGGGGGGAGGGTGCAGCCAAGGAGGGGGGAGGGTGCAACCAAGGAGAAGGAAGAAGGAGGGAGCTGACATGAGACAGAAGTGGATACTTATTGTCTATATGGTTGGGAACAAAAGTGTTTTATCTACATACAAGTTGTTAATATCTGTGTGCTAATCCCTCATTGTTGGTATGGATTAATTGGTACATAGAGCCTCTCACCAGTCCATAGGAAGACATGTATGGACACTGAGGGTGAATGTGTCCTTGCTGCCGTGCCTCATCCTGTGAGGTAGAAAACCTGGATTTCTGGTTTTGAGACCTTGAGTTGCTCAGATTCTGAAGTGGGCACTATGTAATTTGTATGAAAGCAGGTGAGCTAGACCTTTTAATTCTAAGATACTATAATTTTAGAAGTATTAGAACTAAGTCATGCTTTCCTGGCAGTGTCCTTAAGGAGACAGACTTGGATTCAACTCTCTTTTGCAACACTTTTTAGAAAGTAAGCCAAGGATGCACTAGAGAACATTCCTCATTATCTGTTTTCTACTTTAAGCTAGGAACATCTCATAAGTCATGGGGGAACATGAGATGTTTGTGGATATTTAACATGGTTCCTGGTTCATGGAAAGCTCACAGTAAATAGAAAATATAAAAATTATCACCATGAAGCTTGAAATTAAGTTGCTTAAATGCAAAAAACAGTTTTTTTAATGAAAAAGATAAAAAAATAAGTAAACTACCCACCTCCAGGAGCTTAAGTTGAACATGCTTGTTCTGGTGTATGAAATTGTGCTTGAATGCCTATTTTGCTTCACAAACATAATTTTGTTCCTTTTATTCAGGTGGTAATGTATTTACATAGATTTATTAATTTTTATCTACTTGAAACTTAAAAATGTGAGTCCAAATTCAGAGCAAGAATGGCACAAAATTGTAGCAAACTTCACAAAATTGTCTTGGAACATTAGCTGTCCCATAGTCTGTGCTTTGGTAAATTTATTCTCCCATGTTTGGACATGGGTAAGTATGTCAGTGTGGGTCTGTTTAAATGTTTTCATAAAACTTACGGGGTTTGTGAGATGTCTGTCTTTCCCTTTCTTCTCTTCTTAGAGAGTTTCTAAGAAGTTACAACAGGATAGGCTCCAGGACAAAGACCAAGCAGTCTGCTAAGTCTCCCTGTGGATCTTTAGATTTCCTCAACATCTGGGCCAGTCCTTTAGACAGTGACCTGGTGGTGGTGGCACACTCTTTTAGTCCCAGCACTCAGGAATCAGAGGCAGGTGGATCTCTGAGTTCAAGGCAAGCCAAACAAAGAACGAAAGAAATTCCAATTCCAATTCTTTCAAAGCCCCTCTACTTTCTCCTATCTTGCTTGTTTGCTGCCTACCTGAAATATGATGTAAATTGATTATTTTGCTTGATAGTTTTGTTTAATAAGCAAATTATCTCTGTGAAGGATTTATGATAAAACACATTCTGAGTTTTTTTTTTAATTTGTAATAACTGTAGACTCACAAGAACTTAAAAACCATCACAGTGTGTTCCTAAGTGCTCTTTGCTCAGCTTCCTCTATTGGCACAGTCTCTCATATAACTAAACTAGTACCAAACTGCAGGTTAACTTGGATTTGTTACAACTCACTGCATGTGGGTGGAGGACTGAAGGAAGAAAGGTCAGCTTCTCTTGAGTCCAGCTCAGCTGCTGTGTGTGTCACTGGATTAATGCACTGCCATCTCCACTCTGTCCCTTCAGAGCAAGGCTGAAGCTGTAGTGACACCTTACCCTATTGCTTATAAAGTATCTGACATTCAGTTAGTCTTTTTGATTAAAACATGGCCAATAGCTCTTTCCATCTATAGGAAGGTTTGCTGTTTTCAAGACCCAATTATCTGTGCCACTCCTGCTGGGGAATTATCATTGTCCAGAGGGAAGAGCATGAACCCAAATCACTCAAATCTTGGCATTATTAGTGTTAGCCTTGTGACAATGCACAAAATGTCCTTGGGTCTTGCTGAATTGTTTCTACACAATAATTATTGTGAAGACTTATTTTTTTTCCTAGCAAAGACTGGATACAAGGGCCCTGGGAAGTAGATAGGATAAAATATTTCATTGCCATTTTACAAACTAAGGTTCAAAGATGGTAAATTAATTGCCGTGAATTGTAGAACCAGTGCAGTTGAACATATTAGGATACCGTCTTCCATGATATCACAGTACCTTTCCAAAGTATGAGAGGACTGGATCAACACAATACAACATAACACAACAACCAACCAAGCCAAACAACGCAAGCCCAGCAAACAGAGTAAGTAATCCACAGCTCAGGGCAGCAGTAGAGAGTTAGGAGACTGCCCTTATGTGCTACTGTTGATGTCCTTTGCTGTGAGCACAGAAAGTCCCCAGGTAGGTGGAGTTGAGTGATGGACTGTAATAAAGGTGGACTGAGTTTATTATAAGTTACTATTCTAGGGTCTCTTCAAAGGATCCCCTCCACACAATTACCAGATAGCACAGGTAGTCTGGAATCCTGATCCTCACCTCTGTGTCACCATGTTGCCCTCATCCCCAGTGGAAAGCATGGAATGGTGAGAATTTGGAGCTTGTAACTGCTTACACCTTTTTTGTTTGTTTTTTAAACCTCAAGAGAACTTAAATGCAAAAGGATGGAGGGTTCTGATATTATCATCATCTTTACCACTTTCAATATTGTGCTCATGAAAATAATTTATTAACACAAGAATGTTAGCCTGGAGCAGTTTTTATAGCCTTGAATGTCTTTAGTACCACATCAGCCAAAATTCCTTCTTAACCTGCCCTGAACACCTTTCATACATCTGAAATTCTTCCTAATAGAACACCTGTTTTAGAGGAATTCCTTTGGATCTCTCAATCTATGCACTTCCTTAAAAGAGGATAGAAAATGCTAAAACTTATCATTAAGTTCAAAGGGCTCTTGCTGCAAATGTCAAAAGCTTGGCTACAGCTCGTGTGTGTGTGTGTGTGTGTGTGTGTGTGTGTGTGTGTGTGTGAGAGAGAGAGAGAGAGAGAGAGCCTTAAGTAGTGGGTTATAATTAGAAAGATCCAGTCTGTTGATGATGTGAAGTTGGAGTTTTTCTGCCTGTGTTTACATGTGGCAATGTCATAATTAAGACTGCAGTAGAGAAAAACAGGAGCAGAATATTCTCAGGGACTCCTAGACATTTCTCTGGTTTTGAAACCATCTCAACTATTTAGATTAGATGTGCTGTGGAGAAAAGGAGGAAAAAAAAATCACCCAAGTGTAATGTATGCCATCAGAATTAAAAGATTTAGGATGGAAGGTTACCCTGAGAAATTAAGTAGACTTTCTTAGTATAAACAAAACTTTTGTAGACTCTGAGAGCCAGAAGAATATAAGCATGCTTGTGTTTTAAATTTGATGCTGTTTGTACCCCCACAATCCTAAGGTATTAAGGGGAACTCAGAAACTTTCATTCTGTATTGGCGTTGGATTATTTCACTGTTTTAACAAACACAGTATTTTCTTAACTCAGACATGACAATTCAATGAGACATAATGAATAACAGCCCTTTTCCTAGAGTTATAAACAAGATTAAAAACAAATCCCATGGCTGCATACACAATGGAAAATTACCATTATATTAAAAGCAAAATGACTTTTTATTTTCTTGGCTATCTATGTTTTTTATTGCCTTATGCTTTTCCTTGTTTTTCTTTCAAGGAATAGTGCAAAACCTGGCAAAAGAGTTGCATGGCTACATCTCTGTGTGGATGCAAATCCCAGGTAGTACATCATAAGATGGTAATGTGCTACAACCACATAGAGATGAGCAGCTCTCTCATAGGAACTCCCTGGGATAGCTCAATACACATATTGCTTGCACAGAATTTACAGGTTGTTTTTAAACATTAAAATTCTGCTTATTGATTATAAAAGTTTCCTATTATTAAGCACAGACTTACAAAACATATTAGTTTTGCTTAACTTTTGATTATGAGAGGATATTCCAGTGCAAACATCAGAAATATACTAAGAAGAATGATTCTAAAGTAAGACTGCAGTTTTATCAGAGCATGCATTTTAGCTTAAAAGCGTAAATGTAAGGAATGCAATTTGTACTTGTGATTATTTCACAAGGCACTAAGGCACATAAAATTAGATGCTGAGCATACTCACAATATTTTCCAATAATGAAGATGCAGAAGAAGAATGGACCAGATGTCATTTCCTTCTTTGTGAGCAACTGATTAATGAAAGTAGATAAAATGAGGTCTTGGATAAAATGAGTCGCGCACAGCTCACAGTGGTTGTGCTATTTCTGTCCGCAGTCTTAGCAGCTATAAGGCAGCTCTCTCTCTCTCTCTCTCTCTCTCTCTCTCTCTCTCTCTCGTGTGTGTCCCTCCCTCATTTCCTTCCTTCATCCCTCCGCTCCGCTCCTCCCGCTCTCCTCTCTTGATTCCCTTTTCTGAAATTCTTAGTATCTTTCTACACACACACACACACACACACACACACACACACACACACGAGAGAGAGAGAGAGAGAGAGAGAGAGAGAGAGAGAGAGAGAGAGAGAGAGAGAGCGAGCAGCAAGGAAAGTTTATGAGAGCACATAGGTCTGTTTCCTCTAAACAGCTTGTTTCTCTGCCCTGTAAAATTCTCCACATACATATATGGACATTGACAGAAGTCTGACCTGATCAGAGCTGTTGGAAAGAAACTGAGCTGAGCTGAGGTAAACCCCAAACAGAGTTTTTTTTTTTCTCTATGAATGCTTTTGTGGCACTATTATAGAGCAGGAATTAGGGTGTGAGTACAGTGGCCTTTTAAGTCTGTTTGAAAATTTGAGCAATTGATATGGCTCAAAGAGACAAATATAAAAATCAAATATTTCAAAGTGCTTTTGGACTCTGAGATTTTACTATATTAGAGACCTTGACATGTTGAGTCTTCCTGGGGGATCCTTCTTAAGGATCCGTATACTTTGGGGCTGTCAGCTGTTAACTGAAGCTAGGTTTTCAGGAAGAAAATGCCTGCCTGTAAGACAGCTCTGGGGCTGCACATAGGGCACATTGGATGACTGGCACAAGCCCTCGTGCACAGCCGGTAACTACCAAATGGTAGGTATTCAGGTGACAAATTTTAATACTGGTCTGCCAGTGAAGAGGAAAAGTATATAAATAAAAATAACATTTCTATGGGCAGCGCTTTGTCTTAGCTAAAGCATACAATTCTCATTTTTGACTTTGTAGTATATTTCTAGAATTAATGAGTATCACAATGATGCAAGGCTTTGAAAGGGGTTGGTGAAATGGGGGAGCAGAGGAAATGTCAGCCAAGAGGAGGTGTGCATGAAGGTCTTTGGGAGCCTAAAATCTTGCAACCCAACACAAAATATAGTAGACTGTAGAATGCATGTGATATAAAAAGGGTGTGTGGGTGTGTAGGGGTGGATACCAGCAGCCAAAAGGTTAATCAGAGATGAGGGCACTGGGTAAGGGAATGTAGGGATAAGTTAACCAAATTAAGAGTATATGAACAAGCCTTATGAAAACCCACTGTGTTAGCTTGAAAACCAATTAAAAATGTAACCAATAGCCCGGTGGTGGTGGCAACAGTGGAGATGGCATACAACTTTAATGCCAACACTCAACTGGCAGAGGCAGGGGAATCTCTGAGTTTGGGGTCAGCCTGGTCTATAGAGAGAGAGAATTCCAGGATATATATCCTGGAGTTTAAAGAGAAGGGCTTAAACAGAGGAAACCCATATGCATGAAAAATGCTTTTCCCATGGGTTTTGTCAAAACCTCTGTGTTACCTGAGGCACAGGTTATCTCCCTATGAGTTAAGGTCAGGAAGGCCCAGAGGGATTCTAAAAAGTATAGGTATTACCATTGCTCTTAGTTTCCCACAGTAACTAAATGGTAAGATTCTTTTGCTTAAAGACACCTACACTTTGGTTGTAGGACATAGAGAAACAGATCTTTTTTTTTTTTTTTTTACATTTATTTATTTATTTATTTATTATGTATAGTGTTCTTGTCTGCATGTGTCCCTGCAGGCCAGAAGAGGGCACCAGATCTCATTACACATGGTTGTGAGCCATCATGTAGTTGCTGGGAATTGAACTCAGGACCTCTGGAAGAGCAGCCAGTGCTCTTAACTTATTGAGCCATCTCTTCAGCTATGCCCCCCCCCCCGACCCAAGAAGCAGGTCTTCTAACAGCAACAGCTATGCAGGGTACTAGGGGAAAGGCACCAATACTCATACCCAGAACTGAAACCTGCATGTGACAGCATTGGCTTGCCAGGCAAGATGTGCCTGTGCGATAGTGACAAGACTGTTCATGAGTATAATCACCCCCTCTTTTAATTTGTTTGAGGCCAGTTACACAGACGGGGATTCATGCATAGCACTGTAAACACAGGCAAAACTCATGGTTAGGGGAGTCATTTTTTTAAATTACTTTTTATTTAAATTAAAAACAATCTTATTTTACATACCAATCCCAGTTCCCGCTCCTTCCTGTCCTCCCATTTCCCCCACCAACCCCCCCATCCTATCCCCCATCCACTCCTCAGGGAGGGTGAGACCTCCCATAGGGGATCATAAAAGTCTGTCATATCATTTGGGGCAGGACTTTGGCCCTCCCCCATGTATCTAGGCTGAGAGAGTATCCCTGCATAGAAAATAGTCTCCCAAAGCCCATTCATGAACTAGGAATAAATACTGGTTCCACTGTCAGAGGCCTCATAGACTGGCCAGGCCCCCCAGCTGACATCCAAGTTCAGAGGGCCTGGTTCAGTGTTATGCTGCTTCCCCAGCTGTGAGACTGCGGTCCATGAACTCCCACTTGCTCAGGTCAACTGTTTCTGTGGATTTCCCCAGCATGGTCTTTACCCTTTTGCTCATCACTCCTCCCTCTCTACAACTGGATTCCAGGAGTTTGGCTCAGTGCTTAGCTGTGAATCTCTGCTTCTGTTTCCACCAGCTACTGGATGAAGGTTCTATGATGGCATTTAAGGTAGCCATCAATCTCATTATAGGGGAAGGGTATTACTATTGCCTCTCTACTATTGCTTAGATTTTTAGTTGAAAATCATCCCTAGATTTTCTTTTTATGAAATTAATTATTTCAATGGGAAAAAGACAATTAAAATAACTTTTTGGCCACTATTTAGAAATAGACTTCACATGTTAAAGTCAGTGAAACAAATATGACTTTCAGAGTCTTTTCTCTTCAGACACTGGAAAAATTTCCCTGGGTACAAAATCATCCCCAGTTGAGAGTCATTGGATTTTAATCACATATTCTGTTGAATAATGTTTAGACACTGTTTTGTTTTTGTTTATTTTTTTGACATGCTTTCTCTGTGTAGCTCTGGTTTCCCTGGAACTCACACTGTAAACCAGGCTGGCCTTGAACTCAGAGATCCACCTTCCTATGCCTCCCAAGTGCTGGGATTGAAGGTGTGTTCTACCACTGCCTGGCTAGACAATATTTTAAAGTCTGATTATTGACATCAAATTCTTTTTTCCTAGAGTTTGGGTTAAAGTATATTTTCTTGTTTCTCAATTTGAAGCTATCTATCTATCTATCTATCTATCTATCTATCTATCTATCTATTGAAAAACAAAACAAGAACAGATGGAGTATATTCTTCTTTCTCTTTCTGCCCATGCTACTCAATTATAAACATGCTTGAGTGATTTGGCAGAATCCATGGAGCCAGAGCCTCTCAGTGGCTAAGCATCATCCTGCTTTTTCACCTGGATTGGGTACTGACTTACACTAATAGAACTATGACCTTTCTTATCTCAGAATTCCTTTGTAGATCCTATTGAAGCACTCTGAGTAACAGCAAGACCCTCTGTTTGAAGACTCCTTGCAGAGTGGGTTGGTGGTGGTGCATGCTGTGAATCCTAGCACTCTGGAGGCAAAGGGAGGCAGATCTTGTGAGTTTAAGGCCAACCTGGTCTACAGAGCTAGTTTCAGGACAACCAAGGTTGCACAAGGAAATCAAGTCTTGGAAAAAAATAACTAATAGGAAAAAAGTGAATCAAGCTGAAAAAGCCTTCTTTCCTTCCATATTTATAGATCTGTGAGACCCTGTGACCTTTTTATCTATCCCTCCTTACCTGAAAGCCGCCAACCATGCTCTTCTGTACCTATCAGTCACTACCATGTACAACAATGGAGACAGACATTTTGTTAATTTTTTTTTATTTTTTTGTAGATCTGAGTTTTTCCAGACTAAGAAGCTAGTGAAATTCCATTGAGAGAATCACCACATAGAGCAATTCTGATAATGATTTACTAACCATAAGTTAAGGATATTAAGTAGAACCCAAGGGCAAATCAAACAGTCTGTCAAGTTGCTTATCCTGTGGCTCCATTTCTATTATAGGTGACAGCTGCCAATCAGCCAAGACTCTTGAGGTGCTCATCAGTCTTAAGTTCCACCAAAAGACAGTTTTAGATGTCTTAATTTAGCATCAATTAAACAATTCCAAGATGAGATGACTTTTGGGGAATGATATTGATAACATTGCTGCACATGCAATTGGTTGGAGTAGTTAATAGGTACCGGTATTTCAAAAGATGTTTTATGCAAAATTCAAGCAAATTTGTCCTTGTTTCTGGCCACAAAAAAGTGGCCAGAAACATTATTTTTGTAGAAAATTAACTAGTAAGTGGTAAACCACATCTTAATTTATGTATTGCCAATTGGCCCATTAAGGGATATAACAGGGAAGTAGAATTTAGTATTCCTCTCTCAGGTTGATAGTATAAAGACAATGAGGCCATGGCGAAAAAGCACAACTTTCAAGAAGCATGCATATATCTCTTATATTTGTCTACCCTTCACTGTAAATTGAAGTACATGATATTTGCTAAGTGCAAACTCTGTACAGACTTTAGTATTATTAGCTTTGTCTTAATTGGTTCCCTCAGACTCACACTATACGCTCCTTCTACTTAAATTATGCTCATCGGATTCAAGACTGACAGTATTATAAAGCAGCAATATGATATACATTGATTAGGAGCTCCCATATAAGATGGGGGATTTTAATCTCAGGGAAAATTGCTACACAGCACTTAAGTAGGCTGTTATAGTTTGTTGTGAATGTGTGGTGTGCAAACAAAATACGTTATAAGAAAGAATAATCCTTTTTTTTTTCCGTTGAGATATCTTACTATGTACACAGGTGTAGGGAAACACTGTAACCACGCCTCCTAGGGACTGGCTACAGGTGACGTGTGAAAGGTTTAAAGGGATAGCCAAGGCACATGGTAGCTCTCTTCTCCCTATTGCTTCGACTGACTTTCTCAGCTTTCCTGCTGGTTGGTTAGGCAT